CGCGCCCTGCCCCTGGTGTGGCCAACGTGACCTGGTGTGGTCACGCCCTTCTGTCGTCTGCCCAGGGCCTGCGGGACACCAGGCAACCTGGAGGAGACCACCCAGCACAGTGAGGTCCCCATGGAAATGCACGGGGACACTGAGGCAGGGCATGGGCTTCTCTCGTGCCTTCCGGTGACGAGAACCAGAGACAGGCTGTACGGGAGACACCGGGAACTCCGCGGGGGGATCCTGGGATGACGCGGAAGCGTCTCCTGGGAACTCGCTCCAGGGTTACGGCAGGCATCTGCAGCGGCGCGGAAGCTGGGCCTCAGATCTGCTTTTTTTTTAGGTTTTTACCATAGGGTACATGTGCTCGCCTGAGAGAAACAGGGAAAGTGGGAGGGAAAGCGAGAAATCACCCCCGGGGGGGCTGGACACGCCGTGATCCCTTCTCCATTCTCTTCTTGGGATTTTGGGTGCGCACACACACACACATGCACATGCATCTGGCATGATTTTCAAGCTCCAGGTCTGGAACGCGAACCATAGTTGACCAGGTGTGAGTCCAACACCTTAACCGCCCCGCCACCTGCTGGCCCAGCTCTGTTACATCTTAATCTCTGCAACTGGGGCCTGGGGACCTTCGCTTTGAAAGCACCCCCAGAGCTTCTCGTGAACTCTAGCATTTGAGAAGCACTGTGTAGCTGAAATCCAACTAGAAGGCAGACAGTGAAGCCCAGAGAGGTGCCACCGCGGCCCAAGGTCACACAGCGCCACGCTCTGGCAGAACACGGACTTCGTGATGCCCGAGCTCCTGCTCCTTCAAATGCCACCAAGCTTGAAGGCACTTGATGCTTCTGAACGGCTGGACACACTCCCAGCTGAGCCTGCTCCTTCACGAGGTGAGCAGTAGTTCCGGTCTAGCAGACCGGAGCAGACACTGGAACGGTGGTGAAACGCCAGCTCTGGAGGCTGAGCCCCACGGAGACCTCCAGGTTCACACCCAGAGACCTCCTTTTCCTTTTCTTAGTTTGCTCTAGGGCATGTGCACTTGTGGGAGCAAGAGGAAGTGAGACCACCCCGGGGCATGGCCATGCCATAATCTCTTCCTCCATTTAGGGATCGGGGGCACTGATGCACACGCGCCCAGTGTTTTTCGAGCCACCAGGATCCAGTGCCTTCACTACCATGCCACCTGCTGGTCCCCAGAGACCTTCCTGAGCAGGCTGGGGGCCGGAGGGGCCGGCTGGGGCCAGGGAGGTTGGAATGTGGAGAGCCTGGTGGGGGCGCTGTGACCGTCTCACTTCTGGGAGAAATAAACTAAAATAAATGGACTCGCTGACTGTCCTTCAAGGACAGCATCTGTCCCACTCCTCCTAAAATAGCTGTGGCTGGCTCTGGGGCTGGAGAAGCGTGAAGTCCCGCTGGGAGACAGCAGAGCCCCAAGCCTCCGGAAGCGGCCGGGCGGGACGCAGCTGTGCAGGAGGCGGGCCCCACTGCAGCTGCTTGCCCAACTCTGCACTCTTCCGGGAACAATTAGAGGCTGTTCTTTGCTGCTATTTTGATTTGTGAAGGATCCTTCCTCTCCTGGAGGGGCCGGGCGCGGGAGGTGGTGAGGAGGCTGCCGAGGCGGTGGGCGGG